TCCCATTAGAAATACTTGAATGCTGGCAACTGAGCTCCCAGGTCAGCAAAGTGCTTAAGGTCATAGGTATTTTTAAGAATTCAGATAATCCCACTGAATACCCACTCACATAACTAAAATGCACCAGCCCTCCATAGCAGATACAGTGGCAAAGCTGTTAAGGCATCTTACTATGGTTCCAGAGGCAAAAATAAGCCCTGGTCTAGACCAGTGGTTTTCAACCTTTGGTTTGTGGACCCCTCAGGGTTTGATGACTGTGATCAATCCAAAGTATGTGACTACCCACACTTACAATTCAAAGGGGTCCACACCTCTATTCAAAATTTCCAAAGGGGTCCACAAATGAAAAAAAAGGTTGACAACTTCTCTAGGCTCATGCTGAAGGCCACCACTGGCTGACCAACTGTAAACAGATAGCCAGTCATTAGGGCTAGGGAGTCAGAGGAGGGTGATTGTGATGCTAATCACATCACTTTCTTATGTTTTCTAACCACACCAGTCCAGTGGCCTGTAAGACTCTGAGGGACTCAGAAATGATTTTTTATACTTGAAAGGTAAAGCATGAGAAAAAGAATCATCACTTTGAAACTGGAAAAAAATAATCAACAAATCTAAATACAGATTTTAACATTCATGAAAATCTGTCACCCAGTTAAAACGTTTTCTACAGTCCTGCCTGAAAGCTAAAACTATTACTATTGTGTGTTACAAGACCATGAAAGCTGTAAATCAAGATACATTTCACTTTTTACCATCCTATTAATTGGTTCACTTTTTTGTAAACATAAGGATAACAGCTGAAGGACTCTTCAGTTCTTCCCAGTGAATGCTCTTTACATCTGGAAAACAGACATAATATAATAATACCTTAAATACCGGAAGAGCAGCTCTGTATTAGATCACTGATTACAGCCTCAATGTTTTTTGTATTATGCATCACCCTAATGTCTCAAAACACCAAAGTCTTTGTTTAAAAGTATACCTATCAAAATACAGGACCAGGAATTTCAAATGGTTATCACAGCTATTTGCATTTCAATGCTGGCATGGCATGAATCATACGTATCAAAATTAATATTTAATGTAATGCATTACAATTGCTTGTGTTGCTTCTTCCTATCATAAATTTACTTTCCCATCTCACTCTACAATGCTGAACAATATTATATTAAATATCTGAGGCTCCATATTTCGGTCCTTAAGGAAAAGTCTCTTTTAAAGTCAATGACAGTTTTGAATGAATAAAAATTGTATGCACATAGGTCCAGAAGGACACAATTACTCAGGAGTTAAAGGTGTGTCAATTCACTGATAAAGGACAACTGGTTGTTAACAGCAGCTTGCAGAAGCTTAATTATTGAACTGAATACTATCTTGAATACAAATCTAAGCCATAATGTTATATCACTATCTATATGACTTCAGAAAATGTGCAAATATGGTGATAAATATTCAAAAAGATCCCACCCCAACTACATAGATTTTCTCCCCCTCCCTGAAAAGAATGTGCATGCACACACACCCTTGTAGAAATGCAAATATTGACAACTGCTACAAGTTTGGATGTCTGCCATTACCTACTGTTTAGATGCCTATATACAAGTAGACCACATCTTAGGCCCACAACATCTTCTGCAGTGCCTGTTAGAAAGAACATAGAGAGGCCAGCATGCACATATTTCGAAGGAAGCTGCGAGCTGGGAGAGCTGACTTCCGGCCCATAATACCATTCTCAGTTTCAGTCATGCCTCCTTACAACCAAAACTGCTTGAATCCATTTTGTCTGTACCACCTCAGCTTAAATCCTAATTGTAAAATGTCAGCACAGAAACATTGCCTCCTTTGCACAATTATCAGGGATCCAAATGGAGGCAATTGGTGATAATTGGTAGCTCAAAAGCTTACATTACAAAACCAGATTACGATGACAGGCAGATCCAGGAGCAAGCCCTACCCTTGGAGGTGACATCTAGATCTTCCCTTGATCCACAACCAACTTGCCCCCACTCACACTTGCAAGAGCCAGATGTCCAGGTTTAAAATCAGCCAAATATCCAGACTGTACAACAGAATCAATGTGGTCTTCCACAGAGAGTGGAAGGGAGCAAAGAGTTCTTGGAGCCTATTCAGGGGTGACCCTGCCCTGTGTGGCAGCAGGTGCAGCACTGGCAGAGGCCTACTCTACCTGTGTGGGTTGGAGAGAAGCAGGAGCCTGGGTCCAAATTATCATACGTTGAGTGCCTCTATTGTTATCTGCCTTCTAGTGAACCAAAGGAATTTTCTCCTTCCTCCTTCAATAGATAGGCTCTATGCATACCCCAGGACAGGGGTGGGAAGAAAACAGCCCACGGGCTGGATCTGGATGGCCAAGTGATTCTATCCAGCCTGTGGTGGGTCCCTTGTCGTGCCTGGCCAAGGTGCAGGAGGGCAGCCCTGGCTGTGGTGCATACATCAGGTCCTACTGCCCCCAGGCATAGAGGTGCTGCCTGGTGCAGAGCACAACCCAACCTATCCTTATGCATGGCTCTCAGGCACACCTGGAGCTGTAGCCCACAGGACTGGGCAGTGCAGCAGCAGGGCACAGCAGTTGAACTCAGCTTCCTGGTAACCCCACAGCAGCAACTCACTCTGCCCTCACACTTCTGGTTGGCACTGCCAATGTCTCCACCACTGCTGCCAGACCCATCCCCCCTACCCAGACACCACAACCCATTCACCCTGCACCCACTGCCAGGGATGCCAGATGGAGCAGGTTGGTAGAGTCTCCGTGGACCAGCATAGGAGCCACACAGGCAGGGCGCACTTGGCCATGCAGATAGGATGAGGCTGCAGGTGGGCGGGGAGTGGTGTCCAGAAGTGGGATAGGCAGGCTGAGGTGAGATAGCAAGGTAGTGACAGCACAGGGCCAGGGCCTGGGGCAGAGCTGCAATCCACACCCCGCACATCCCTGAAATGGGCACTGGTTCCCTGGGCAGGGGCACAGACACTGGTGCCTGCCTGACTGCAGCCCCATCCTATCCCCCTGGCCGAGTATGCCCTTCCTGCAGGGGTCCCAGGCTGGGTCAGCACTCCTTCCACCTCCTCCTCTACAACTCCCTGGCCCTCGACAGCTCACCAAAACACCTTAAGTGGCCCTACAGCCCAAATAATTGCCCACCCCTGGCCTAGGTCTTAGAACAACAACAAGAACTTAGTTGCAGGGGCTCTGTTCTGTGCTGATATGTACCCCATGGGCTTCAAATGAGTGCCAATCAGAACAGAATTTCTGCCTGCATATTTTCCAATTTCAGTCAGTACTGTCAACACAGGCTTCATTGACTGAATAACTACTCGAGTCAAATGTTTCCTATTCAACAATTGTCCTTATGGCAGCACTTAACCATGTGTCCTACCTAGGTTCTGATCAGTGCTGTAGCACTATTTTGAGATAATCACAAGGTACAGATGCAATTTTTAAGAAGAAGCAGGACAGAAATGTTTTCCAGTGGTATCTTAGGTCTATGTCCCTTTTTCTGCTAGGCCATTTGATCAAATACAGCTCTCGTGCCTGTACAAGTTTCCTATGGCAATCCTTGAAGCTTAGATGACTGGATTTAAACACTGAGCCCTCTGCATTGGCTAAGCAAGTTTTGGGGGACAGTTTCATAAGAGCATGAATCTGAACACCACAGAACACCAGACAGTTTTCAAAAATCATATTTCCCCCCCCATACACACAAACATTTTTCAGAAAAACCAGTTCTGGTCACTAGGGCAAAGCCTTAAGCTCATCACATTTATCTGCAGATAAAACTAAATCTTTATGTTTATTAACAAATACTTATAGAGCTACATAAACTCAAGTGTTCAAAAGCATAAGTACATATAATGCTGTTTGTAATATTAGTCAATAAGTGACCATTTCAATGCAAAAATATTTAATTCATGATTTTTCACTGAATAGGTCAGTGGTTATCAACCTTGACAGACTAGAAAACACCAGCTCTTCACTTTCACCCATTTATTAACTACGAAAAAATAAGAGCATTTTTTCCTGTTACAAAGAACTCAGAAAAACTACAGCTAGTTAGAATTACGGGTTCCCATTTAAAATCTCTGGGTTTATTTTGTGAACCCTATGTAGGTGTTTGCTAATATTATGTGGCACCCCCGGTACCCTTAAAAGGACCTCATGGCACCATGGTTGGGAAAAAAAAAAAAAAAAAAAAAAAATCACTGAAATAGGTCTTCTCAACATTATACATGCTGATTATTTTTTTCAGAACAGAAAATATTACCTGAAGTTTTCCAAACAGCCTTTTTTAAAAAGAGATGACAAAAAGAAGAATATTTACTCCAATTGTCCTTACAGACAGATGTGACAATATTTTAAATGCAAAGATTATTTCATACAAGACAAACAGGATGATGCTGCACAGGTACAGGCAAACACAACCATTCTGTAGTTGCAGTATATGTTCTGTGTACGAATCTGTTACTACATTAATAAAAAAATATGGATAATAATGAGCTCCAAAGTTCACCCAGAAATACAAAAGTGTACATTACAAAAGGTTTTGAATGAAGCTCAGGATTATATTTTGCATGTAACTCAAACTCCATCGAAAGATACTCCAGCTTCATCCTTTGAGGATGATACAGAAGTTTAATTTTCACTTATTACGGGTGACCTCACGACTATCTTGTAGCTGCTTTGCCCCTCCTGTATGATGGTGGCTCCCTTAACTAGTAAAAATAAAACACGGCTATAAATAACTCCAGGAGGTTTTGTCTCTTTCCCTCCATATATTGCAACATCCTGTTTCTGCAGCCCCCCACTATTTATGTACCAGAACTATGCAGCTTTCATCCAGCCATTACATCCCTTCCTGAATAAGGACCCGAAACAATTCAGGTAGGACCGAAGTATTCTTTCCAAGGTGCTGCAAACATCTGCTCGTACCAGTTGAGAGTCATAACCGGTCTTTCACTACCTGGGTTATGTCAACCCCTGGGTATCACTCCATCCAGAAAGAGCACACACCAAATGCAGAGCCTTCCTCAGCCTGACGAACGGTTTTTAAACCCAAAAGCTTGCTAAGAAAAAAAATGTCCAACTATTGTTAAGTTGGTCAAATAAACGAGATCAGCTTCACCCAAAGAACCGTGTCTGGGTATCCCTGGAATTCGAAACAGCAAGAGGCTGAAGATGTGGCGTAAGCCCCTCTTAAGCCCCAAGCCCATGGCTGATCCTGGAGTTGGGAAAGAAATCACTCCTCCCCACCTCCTGAGTTCATGCCTCCACACACCCATGCTATCCCCAGGCCCCCTGGGGCCTGATCAAGAGGCTCAGGTACACTGATGCAGAGCCAAGCAAGTCAGCTGAGGTCCTGAGGCCTCTCTCCCGCCTGCATTTTGCTTCATGCAAGCTGGTGCAAGGGGGGGGGGGGTGCACTGGATCAGCAAACTCACCTCTTTCAGCTGCTCCAGCTCCTGCTTGAGGCCATCATATTCCGCCTCCAGCTCGTCATACTGCTGCTTCAGGGTGAGTTTCTCTTCCAGCACCACCAACCCGTATTCGGCGGCCTGGATCTTCTCGTGGGTGGTTTCCGTGAGCTCCTTGGTCAGCCTCTCGATCTCGCTCTTATAGTGATCCACGCTGTGCAGCACCCCTTCTGCGGCCATAGCCCTGGCGGGGGGCCGGGGAGCAGGGCTGGCTGGATGCGGGGCTCCGGGCGGCAGCAGCAGCTACACGCCCCGGGGGACGGGAGGGAGATGCGACATGGAGGAGAAGGGGCAGGAATCAGAGCCCAGGCGGCTGCAGCATTTGTCCTCTGCCCGCTCCTCGCCTTCTCCTTGGCGCTCACCAGCCGCCCAGCATCGCAGGGAGGGAGGGAGGCGCGCGGGGGG